TTTTTTTTTTTTAATTGCACATTTAGTGCAAAGCCTGACTCTGGATTTGCCGGCTTTAAAGTTGCAGCTGCTAACTTCGTAAGTCTGCTGCATCTCTCGAAATACCTTTTATTGCAAATATGTATACCACTGCAATCCAATGGCATGTATAAATACAGGACATTTCAGAAGTTAAAAACTTGCTTGGACTTTGAGAGGAGTTAACTCACTATCACAAGCTCAAAGTAGCTTAGAAACGAAGTGTATTTAAAAGGAAAGGTGTGGGTGTGGGGGAAATAATGTTGGCATAAGAATGAACAGGTACAACCTTAAGGAAATTAAGAGTATTGTCTTCTAAGGTAATAAAAGCTGCAAGGGAGTTGAACACTACTTCTAAATAACACTTGACAAATCTGCAAGAGTAATTTATACAATAAGCTCACCAATAATAGCAATGGGTGAGTGAATAATCCAGGAGGGTCTTCCCAGATCTATATTCCTATATTCCTCTTTAAAGCAAAAGCTTTGTTTGCAGCTTTCAAATATACTAGTAGTTTTGGAGAACAGGAGAAAAAAAACAAAAAAACCCCAAACCTRAGCAACACGTAGGTTACCAAAAAGTCAAAGTATTAAGAAATGAATGAGGTAGTTTTAAACAGCAGTAACCTATTCTATTGCATTTAACTCACAAATACTCTCAAAGCTTTTTGTTTTTGTACTCCTCTAGCCAACTGTAAATATAGTTTGCAAAAGGATTCACCACATTTTAGTTGATCTATCATCTAAGTTCATCACCACTAATAAAGACAACACTCGCTTCAGAACATGCACCACATAACAGTACAGCAATTATTAAAAACACAAAGCAACAAGTTTTTGGAAACTATTTTGTGTCCAAAAATCTGCCATGTTTTAAGTTTTCCTTCACAAACCAGCTGGCACTGATGTATGTAACAGATGAAAAGACCTGCACGCTCTGTACTGATGGAATCACACCTACCTGGGAACGTGTCCCTGCAATGTGTCTGTCCACTTGAAATTCTGAATATATCGCAACTTAGATTCTTGAGAAGAGTTATCCAGTGAAACAATAAAACCTATGAAATAAAACACATGCCAAAAAGCAATCTCAAAGTGAGAAATAGAAAGAGGCAGGGAAAGCAATGGGGATAATGAGAACACAGATATAGATAAAGGAATGTTCTTCCTCTAGAGMTTAAAGAACTGTGTTATTTCCTTATGTTTTTATTCCTCAATATCTTGAGAATAAGACTTACAAGAAGAGAAAAAGGCTAGTGTAAGAAACTCCTTGTCCAGTAGCTTATCAATCCAACCCTGTGAGTTGTGATTGTGCAAGGAAAGTCTTGCAAGTGTCTGCAGGCCCCCACAGGGTGGGTATACAGGGTGTGTGTTGGGGACGTATAGGGGGATTTTGGCTGGCCCCAGGCCAGGCTCACACTGGCTAGGCTTGCTCAAGGTGAGTCTGTGACTGTCCCTGCTGCTACGGGGGCGATTGAGGAATTCCAGGAAAAGCTCCTTGGTCAACAGGGACAGTGAAAAGGGCTTATAAGCAAAGACTTGCTTAGAGATCAGCTGTTTTATCTCATACGCTGCAGGAAACTGATTCCTTATATCCAGCTGCTCAGGAAGGGACAGCAGACAGGAGTTCATGCCATGGGTTAGACAAACACTAGCACGTGTGGACCCAAAAAGGAATTTTCTTAGGTGAAAATTGCCTTATGTCTGCTTGCATTTTACAGAGTTCAAGAATTCAGACTTGCAAGGGCAGCTACTTAGGCTAAGACCCTAGATGTTCAGGAAGAGCGAACTGTTTCTTCTGCAGAAAGATTTCAGTGGCCAAGCACAAYGCTCTCTCAAAGACACTCCTCAAACCTTGTCTTCAGCAACTCATACTAAYAGCTTGCCTTGATCTAGAAGGTCTGATTAACTTGCACCCTCCTAGAGGCAGAGACTTACGGCAATTTGAACTATTTCAGCTGCCACAGAGGGAAGGGGGAGAGGAGAGGAGGAATCACACTGTTTTCAYGAACCAGCTAATTCCTGGCAGCCCTGAGTCCCAAGTAACTTACTCAAGTGGATGGCTGCTAAGGGAGGTTATCAAAATACTGGCAGGARGAAGGTTGCAAGGAGACTCGTTTGAGCATCGCAGGCGAATATGTACCGAAAATGTAGATACTAGAGTAACGAGAAACTCTATATGCACTTCAGCAACAGAAGGATAAACTTGCAATGAGTCTGTTACGTAACTTTAGACTCATTTTATTCTAAAGCAGCAATTCATGGCAATCTCTTTTTAAAAACAGATTTCCTCCAGCAGAAAGCTGAGCAAGGTTAAAAACAGGAGGACAGGACCAACAGCACCTGGTACTGGCAGTCACAAAGGATGTGAAACCTGCAGAAAGGGCCTGGTCAATGCTCAAGACTGGTCACAAGCAGGGAACCCACAAAGCCACTTGCCTTCCTAAGCACAGAGCTTCTTTACACAAGATTAGTACAGCATATATTCTTAGCAGTGTCATTAAAAGTCTAATTATATGAAAGATCTCTTGACTTATCAGCATTTCTGCATGTTCCTACCTTGCAAGAGTGAGAAGTACAAGTCAGTTGCATTCTTCATCATTTCAGGATTGCAACTCAAGTCAGTAAACAGCTCCAACAGCCGTACTCGAGCTAATCTTATATCACTGTATGCAGGAAATAAAGAAGAAAGCTAAGAATCTCTACTCCACAACGTTTTGGTAATAAAAAAGTAGCCATCCACACGTGCCACCACAAGTGGCACTTTTACACAAGAATGTGAAACTGGCATTCAGCTTAGCTATCTTAACTCAAGGAGAGGCACTTGAGGTACTTAGCAAGAAGCTAATACATATGGAAAAATCTTCCTAACTCCTCTGAATATCCAGAATCGTCCAGAATATGGACAGTACCTTAACCCAAAGAATCAGATAACAAATAATCACTACTCACTACAAAATTCTTGCCTAAATACCAACTAAAAAGGAAATGTTTCTTTAT